TCTCTCTCTCTCTCTCTCTCTCTCTCTCTCTCTCTCTCTCTCTCTCTCTCTCTCTCTCTCTCTCTCTCTCTCTCTCTCTCTCTCTCTGTGTCGCTGTCGCTGACGTGTCTTTCCTCTGCCTGTTGATTCGGCATCGGCGCCGCTGGAAGATTGCTGGCGATTATGTTCTTTCGATCTTTACACCACGCTGTGCGTTCAAGCGACGTCGCCTGCATCCCCGTTGGCTCGTGTGGCGTGTCTTGGACTTAACGCTCACTTGTTTTCGGTCTTGCCTGCTTGTTGTCGTTAAACTTTTCTTTCTGTAGTTTTTAAAAGTGATTGCGTTGTTGTCTACATTTGTGTGTGCCAGGAGGCGGGCGTGGACGCTAGGAGAGGAGCCGAACAAGACCGACAGAGAATATGGAGTCGTTTACCAATGGCAGTCGTCGCTCGTCGACCTTGTATTCTCTTCTTCTTCTTCTTCTTGTCGTCGCACCTGCGGCTTTTGCAACGTCGTTGACGTCGACGGCAGACGGATTGGGCCCCTCCTCTCACGTCGCTGGCGCTAATGGGCATCGAAAGCTTGGGGATGTCCGGCCTGAAGTGTCACCGTTCGCTGATGCGGATGGAACAGGCGTTGCTGAGCAGCCTGCGCGGAAGATGCAAGAGGCAGGCGGAAGTCTTGCCGAGGCGCTGGATGAGAGTGGCAAGGGAAGCGGCGGCGGCGGCGGGTACTTCGGCTTTGGAGGCCAAACTACCGGAGGCGCCGGCGGCCCTACTGTCTATGTTGACAACTGCAACGACAGCGGCCCTGGCAGCCTAAGGTATTGGTGTGGCCTCCCTGGGAAGAGGGTCATCAAGTTCAAACAGGACTGTACCCTCCGATTGAAGTCTAGGCTGGAATGTACCAATGACAAGACGGTCGATGGGTCAGGCCAGCAGGTGAAGATCACCGGCTGGGGTGTCAGTGCCAACCGCGTGTCCAACGTGATCTTCAAGAGCTTGTGCATCACAGGGACGAGATTGGATGGGGTCACAGTTCGGCTGTCGTCGAACATCGTTGTGCAAGGGTGCACCATCTCCAAGGTGGGCGACGGGGGTATGGATGTAATCACCAAGTCTACCGGGATTTCTATTCTGAACAATCACTTCACGGGTGACCTGAAGGCCATTCTTGTGGGCAACTCGGACGGAGCGTCGGCGGATGCGGCGACGAGAGTCACGGTGGCGTTTAATTTCTTCGACAACTGTGGTTCAAGACTGCCACGTGTACGATGGGCAACGGTCCACGTCTGCTCAAACCTGTACGTGAGGTGGGGACACTACGCTATTGGAGCATCACGCAAGGCGAGGCTTTTGGTAGAGAAAAGCATCTTCGAGCCCGGTGAAAACTTGTACGTCAATAATCTTCACGAGGGAGAGAAAGATGGGACGATCATTGAGTACCGAGGGAACACACTAAACGGCGCCAAGCTGCTGCCAACGCATTTAGGAACGGTAGATATGCCGTTCAGCTGTCCGGCTTGGTCCGAAGACAGCATTAGAAGTGGGGCGGGTGTGAATTACCCATGCGTGTAGAAGTCTGACGCCTGACGGTGCTCGCCGTTGTCTGCTGCGGGGATGGTGGAGTCACTGGAGTGGAACGAAAAGCGAGGGACGTTGACGGATAAATATGCCGTTAAGCTGTCCGTCCGGGTACGTAGGAGGTCCGAAAGCAGCATTATAAGTCAGGCTGGTGTGCCTTCACCAATGAGTGCGCTTTCAGAACTTAGACGGTGCTCAGGGTTTTCTGCTGCGGGATGGTGGAGTCGCTGGAGTGGACTGTCAAGCTAGGGGCGTCGCGGGAAATACGTTCCCTGCGTAGTATTTGGCTTGGCGGTCTGCTAATGTCGAGCACAGCGGTTGGCTGCCTGTTTCTCTCTCTCTCTGTGTGTGTGTGTGTGTGTGTGTGTGTGTGTGTGTGTGTGTGTGTGTGTGTGTGTGTGTGTGTGTGTGTGTGTGTGGAGCATCATAAGTCGAGCTGGTGTGATGTATGAATAGAAATGAGAGATCGGTGAGGACTCAGGGCTTTCTGCTGTGGGGGGTATGATGGAACGGGAAGGGAGGGAGATTGTGATTGTGAATCTGGGATTACATCACGTGAGTTGCAGTCGACGGACTATCTGCCAGTGTGAGCACTAGTATTTCAGTTCAAGAGTCTTGGCTCTCTGTGCTTCGCCACCAACCTACTACTACGTTTCTAGTGACGGCATAATGGGACTGCACTTCCAACTTCCAAGTGCCATCTTTCGCGCGATAAGCGTCTTGACTCTGCATGCATGTAGCCTTAAGGCGCGCGATCCGGATCCCTACTTTCGTAATGCAACGTCCTGCCCGCTTCGTTTCAAAGCGAGGTTACGTACTTGCTTAGCGCGCCGTGTCTGGATCCCTACTGCAATTTTTCACTGGCCTCCCCGCTACATTCTTAAACGTTCGATGAGGTAATCCTTACGTGCTTGTCCGTTTCCTTTCGTTTTCAGCAGCAGATGCGTCTGCAATGTTTGTGAGAAGAGTAATAAAAGTTCAGCATTAGGGTCGGTGAACTCTTTTTTTTTCAGTACGGGAAATGCTGTTAATGTCTTTATGGACGCTTATACGCACCGTATTGTCGCCCCGCATATCATGTTTCGTACTGGGAGGCGAGCTGCATGCTGCATGCACGTCCGTGTGTGGCAAGCAAGCGATCGAGAGAGAGAGAGAGAGAGAGAGAGAGAGAGAGAGAGAGAGAGAGAGAGAGAGAGAGAG